GAGGAAGTGGGTGAAAGGTGGAGAAAGAGGGGTTGAATTTAAGACAACCCTCCAATAATTAGATTCTACACATGGAAAATTATAACAAATTTATTCACTTTTCATTGATAGAATCTAATTATTGGGGAGTCATCTTAAATTCAGAGTCATCTTGGATTGAGGTAAATATAGTATTTATTTCTCAGAGATAAGCAAGAACTTAAGTATGAAACAATACTTGTACTGCCTAATATAGAGGTTAGAAAGTATGGCATGCCCAGCCAATAATGTTTTCCAGACCTCCTGCTTACTTGCATGCTCATGCTAGCACTAATCTATAAACATCATTCTCCAGACTTCAGGTCATCTGCTGAATCTTTCCTCATGTTATCTTTCTTAAAACCAAGGTGCACAGATTTACTCACGGAAAGAGACTCAAAACTTGACCCAGAGAGATGCACCTTGGTCTGCTACATTCCTTGAAACTGCAGTGCTTACTCAGATGCAAAAGGAAGTATCTACCATTTACAGCAAAATGAGCATTAAAGCACACCACAGAATTAGTCTTTTACTATTATCAAATGTTCTCTCCCTAGGAAAAGACAGCCAGCTGAAACAACTGTTTTTCTCATAATAATAATAAAGCACAGCCAACTATTTAATCATCTCATCTCTACTGCTCCCTCGAATCCTTCATTCTCTAAAAACTGGAGATCAGTTACAGCCATAAAAAAGATGTTTATATCATGACTTCATTCCAGCAGTACCCATAGCTTTATTGCATTTTTGATACATTTATAATTACTCATTTTTTCACTAGTGCACTGAACAGTATTTTACTCTGCAATCAAATTGACATTTCTTATAATTCACCCTGATAACCAAAAAAATCTAGAACAGACCCAAAATAAATTTGCTTCTTTAAATTGTAAAAAGCAAAGCTATTTATTATTGGTATATACATACACAAAACACAAACAATATATTCTGATGAGACCAAGGCCATTGATAAAAATATATGGTTACTTCAGACTAAACATCCAATACCTGTGAAGTGTTTTATAAACACAGAAGGGAAACACTTGAAGATCTGAAGAGTCAAATGAGAAACATATCATCATAAAATCAGAGAAGTAGGGGACTCCAGAGATCATCTAGTCCAATCCTTTGCCTGAGATATGATCATCCTTATCCAAATCATCCTATACAAATCCAGTCTAACCTATTAGCAAAACTATACAGTCACCCCTGACAACACTACAAAATCACCTGACTTAACACCCTAACCTGCCACAGGTAAAGTAGAGGGACCCTGGCAGTGAACCCACTGCTGCTGCAAGGTAATTAAAACATGCTAGAGAGATCCAAGGAAGAGGGCCATACCCTCCCCCCCGCCCGGGCTACAGAATGTGGCAATAACACCCCCAGTCCATACCAATTTGATCATGGGTCTGTACCATTCTTCCTGATTCCAAATATGGCAAAACAGTCTAAGCCGAGGGGCAGGATTCTCTAGCCAGGAAACTCCAGGTTTGAGTCCCAGCAAAAGCACTGCACACCCCAGTCACAATCCCCAGCGCTGGCTGCAGCCAACCCCCAGTGGTTCCAAGGAAGGCTTTAAAACAACCCTGACATGTAGCAGCAGGAGGGGAAAAACTCCTTCCCAGCCCCATGTGGCAACCAGTAAAGGCTAGAAGCATGGAAAACCCATAGTAGAGTTTAGGCATAAATACTCTTAAATCATCCCGGACCAATGTCTGCCCAACATCTGCAGAACACCTTCAGTGCCAGAGTTTCCACAGCTTCTCCTGGCAGTACATGCCACTGCCTCGCTTTTCCAACAGTGAAGAGGTTTTTCGGGATATTCAATCTAAACCTACTTTGCTGCAACTTCAAGCTGTTGGTCCATGTCCTAGTCTTTGCAGCAAGAGAGAAAAAGTGTTTTCCCTCTTTTTATGGCATCCATTCTGGTATTTGAGGACTGCTAGCATGTTCCCCCTGAAGCACCTTTTCTGCGAGCTGAACATGTCTATTTCCTTCAGTCTCTTTTTGTCTGACTTGCCTCCCAAGCCTTTGGACCCTTTAACTGCTCCAGTCCCTTCTTAAAATGTGAAGCTCAAAAGTGCATACAGTACTCCAGATCAGGGGTGCTCAGTGCAGCCATTGGCCCACAGGGCTCCCCATGGAGCAGGAAATTTGGTGGTGGGGGAAGGACCATTAATATAGTCACCCTCCTTCTGCCAAATTCCCAAACCCAGAATCAGCACTGGGTTGGGGCCAAGCCATGCTCCTTCCCCCCACCCCCTCCACGGGGCCAAGCCACACATCCTTCCTGCAGGACTGGACTGGGGCTGGTCCATGGTCTTTCTTTTCTGTAAGGCCAAGCCATGCCCCATTCCCACCCCCCGCCCATGGGGCTGGGTTGCAGCTGGGCAGCTCCCTTACCCCCTCCACCTGGCCAGATGGTGCCCACTGCACTGGCCCCAGTGCTGGATTAGGACCACTGATGGGATCCAGCCCACGGACAGATGGGGCACTGCCCATGCAGTCCTCCAGGGAAAAAAGCTGAACCCCACTACACTAAATGAAGCCTAACCAATGCCAAGTAGAGAGACACTATCACTTCCCATTTCTTGCACCTAATGCTTCTATTGATGCATCCCAAACTGTATTTGCCTTTTGTGCAGCTGCATTATACCCTAAAATGCTTGAGAACCATTGCCTTAGAAGTTTTGCAAGTCATGGAGAAAGGAGACAGGATCAACATCTAGAAAAGGAGTATTGATTCCACATGTATGCTACCACCACAATTCAATCCCTGATTACCTAAGATAAGCAAGGAGGGTAGCCTCAGAACAGGAGATATCCCACTGCTGGATGGTAAAAACAAAAAGGATTTCAAATATTGCTATGTTCCTCCCCCATGAGAAGTCTTAAGCTGGTTCTCTTAACTTTTAAAAATCACTTCCTAGATACATAGGTATACTATACTGAGCAGCACAAGCCAGCAGTTAGGCATGCTACTGCTTTCTGCGCTATCCATAAGCAATGGAGAAGAAATATTGGAAAGTAATTCTAAATCACTGTAATTATACAGACTATAAACTACTAAGGCTTACATGCCAAGAAGAAAAACAGTGCCAGGGAACTTCACCTGGCAAAAGTAGTGATACTTTTAACTGTTTTCTTGCAGTAAGATTATCAAGAAACAGAAGATCCTCACATCAACAGAAAAGCTGGCAGGATTTTTGTCTGCCATGGATTACGTGTAAGACAGATCTGAGGTCTGATGTTTTGTGAGCATATCTCCAGACTGGAGATCGATGGGATTCCAGACCAGATGCAGAAAATTATATCAAACTACGTTCGCTACTTTAACTTTGCTAAGCTCTGTATATAAGAAAAGTTACTTGTACATCAGACAGAAGTTGGATAGAGCAGATTCCTACCATCACCAGCAACTTGCTTACTTCAGCAAGGCAAAACTGAAACTAATGGAAAATGGTTCCTAACACAGAGCACTGTTCCTCAGTTGTAGAAGTAGCTATTCTACCAATCGCATCAAAGGCTGCTGAAAAATCCAATATCACCAACAATATCTAGCACAAATTTATTCCCGACTCTAGCCTAGACCAAGAAGTTACAGAGGCTGAGATGCATGTGGAAAAAAAGCAAATGGGATAGGTGAGGGCAACTGTGAGTACCAAAGGATGCCTTATCAGACCACTATCTTTAAACATACAGAATGGACCCAACTAGAGGCATGGGGAAAGGAAATAGTATTCTTAATCAAAACCAAATTAAGCCCTGTCAGGGGAGTGCAGAAGGAATCCAAGGTTCCTAATAGATTCATAGTCGAAAGGGATCTTAAGAAAAACCTGGAACTGCTCAATTTTCCATGAAAGCCGTTAACAAAAAAATGCCTACAAACTAAAATAGTTCATCTTGGCTTATAATTAATTCCTTGAGATTATTAGTCAAGGATAGTAAAGGAATTAACAGTACATTGTGCATAACTATTTATACACTTTAGTAAAGCTAAATATTTAAGGCAGGTGATATCAAGCAAGTAACATTTTAAAATACTTACCAAAAGTATCAAGTATATCTGTAATTAATACGAATTTACTTGGATAAAACTGGATTACTGCTGTGTCCGAAAGAAGTTTGGAACACTAGAAAAAAAAAAAAGAGGGTACAGATTGGTTTGTATATTTTTAAAGCATTTCTGTAAAACGCTTTAAATGTAAGTAAGACAAAAAGGAACCAAGGATTCTGGTCTCAGCTGGCAGCACATTTATGTCCCATGTCTGTCTGCACTACAAACACAGAACCACAGAAAATAAGGGTTGGAAGGGATGTCAGGAGGTCATCTAGTCCAATCCCCTGCTCAAAGCAGGACCGTTCCCAACAACATCATTCCCAGCTATTGGGGGGCCCAAAACTGGACACAGTACTCCAGATGTGGCCTCACCAGTACAGAATACAGCAGAATAATTACTTCCCTTGATCTACTGGCAATACTCCTACTAATACAGGTCAGTATGCTGTTAGCCTTCTTGGCAACAAGGGCACACTTCTGACTCATCCAGCTTATTGTCCACTGTAACCCCCAGGTCCTTTTCTGCAGAGGATTCTTTCGTTCTAACATGCCGTTCTCCATTGCCAGAAGAGTTAACCAGAACAGTCTTCCTTTATACCGTGTAATCCTTGGTACATCATTTCATAAGCTATGCATTCTTCTGGCAAAGAACACACAGGAAGTGTCACTTATTTTTAAAAAGTGTATTTATGTTATTTTTATGATGCTCATCACTATCAATTTCTGAGCCTCTATATTGCACATATCCATACCACAGCTACACTAAAAAAAATAGCTAATGTGTATTTTAAGTACGATCTAGCATGTACACAGATGCAGCTGTGCACTAGGCCTTTGCGAAGCAGCTAATATTCACTTTGGATTCGGCTAATTCAGGGGACAGTGTTTTTGATTTGGTGATCTGAATCTCTGCCCCAAATCAATTTGGCCAAATCTGATTTGGAGATTCAGCTGCTGGGGTCGGGGTCTGAAGGAGCAGGCAGGGGATAGGGCCTGGCAGGGGTCCCCCACAGTCCCCTCCCCCAGCTCTTCCTCCCCCCCCTACTTACCAGCTCCAAGTCTGGCTCCAGCTTCCTGCTGTAGCCAGCAGGGACTGCCCAAATCACTGACACTCTCCAAATCTTTTCCAAAGATTCAGAGAGTTTTGAATCGATTCAGAGTTTTTAATTGGTCCCTGATCCGATTCAAATTCGGAGTTTCAGCCACCAAATCAGGCCAAATCTCCTCCGAATCGAATCACCACCTGAAGCTTCGTACAGCCCTACTGTGCACCAAACATAAACATAAGTTAAGACCTTTAAAAGATGTGTCACATGGAGACAATAATACTAACAGAACTCCTGGTGCTGTTAGCATATCTAGTAGTATCCCCTCAAAGAAGCTATTTACTGACCAGCAGCTTCATCAAGTAGACAAGATCTATGACAAACTGGTGCATGAAGCTAGGGAGTGAGTTGCAGAGAAGCAGCAGCTTCATCTGTGCTCTCCCCATAACAGCCTCTTATAATCTGGCCCCAAGTCCATAACGCCTGAAATCAGATGCCTGTGGGTTTTGATGAAATAGGTTTCTTGCCTGTTGCTGTATGTTTCATTTCTGAGAAATAAATGTATCCCCTTCAGGATGAACACATCATGATCTTGACCTCTAGCTACGGAAACAGCTTACCTCCATGATAAGAAGGCCTTGGGTGCTAAAAAGCATTTTAAATGAAAGGGAATATGTATTAATGAGACTTCAGTGAGGCTGTCCCATGCACACAGTTTTCTAAATCAGTGTTTCCCAACCTTTTCCAACCCAAGGCACATATACATTAATACAAATTTTCCATGGCACACCTGTTAAGGCATTCCCCATCCTCATACCCATTGCAACACATTGCCATGGCAAAATCCCGCAACACGTCTGTTCATTTCTGACAGCACGCTGGTTGGGAAACACTGTTCTAAATACTGAATTACTGCTTCTCACTCCCATAATCACCAGAACTAGTTATAATATTTCAGTAGCCTAAACACATGCCACTAATATTCAGTCTTAGAGAATAGTATCCATAACAAGAAGCATGTGAAGGAGGAAGCTGCAAGTGAGAAGTATATACATGGACAGCATTCACAGACCAATGAGAAAGTGTTCAATTTTTTAAGTAAAAATGTGCAATACAGATATTCAAACTGCTCAGATTTTCACAAAGCATGGTCTTACAGGGCACCTTGTCTTAGGATCATCCTTTCTACTTACTTTGGAAAGCTTTGTGATAGCTTTTTTTTTTTTCTAACGCTTGACACGCTATGTTCAGGCTGGTCACCATGTAAGATAGTTAGGCACACTGCACAGGTATACAGCTGTGTATAAAAAGCAGGATGCTTTATTAAGTCATGTGTCCAACTTCAGTCACAGTTATGTTTTACGTTTTCCCTTCCAACAAGAGCTCTGAGGTACCATGTTTTCGTTAATTAAATTAATCTCAGGTCACAATGCTGTTCATGGTAGTCTGTTTTTAAACAATATTGCTAATTCCATACTGCTACAGCCAAATATCAATCATCTGAAGTCATGGATCATTTGCTGAACTCCAACCATGATGGATTTATTGTTTTATTTCCTCTGTTATTGTAACCAATGATATTTACAAATGTAAACCATTTTCAAAGGTAGATCCAGCACTTAAAAATAAACCTGACCTTAGGTAGCTTTTCCCCAAGACTAGCAGCATTACAGCCTTATCACTTCTAAGGATGGCCTCTGGTATATTCCATCTTTGACCTCATCTAAAGGCCAACTCATAAGTAGTAATTCTTTACATATATCACCTCCCACAAAAGAGCCATTTCCAAATTAGCACAGATGAACATTGTGCATCATTAGTACAGAACCCCTGAACCATTTTATGTGCTTCATTAAATTAAATCAGGTTATTCAATTACTTCACCAGGCTGAAATAGAAAGTGGCAATTCACATTGGCCAGTATTTCATTTGTTTTTTTACTTTTTG